CTCTGAAGAATTCACAGATAAGGTCACTTTGCATGTATGCTGCTTTTGCAAGCTGAGGACTTCATCATTATTTCCCTTTCTTTTTTCCTTCAGTTATCTCTCACTTTGTCATTGTGTGCTCCTCCCTGTAATAGTAAGCATATTCTTTTCCCTCTGAAACCTACTTGGTGGTATTTTTTTCCCCTCTAATCACTACTCTAAAGAATTGAAGGGGCGCCTGGGTGGCTCAGTCGGTTAAGCGGCTGCCTTCAGCTCAGGTCATGATCCTGGAGTCCTGGGATCGAGCCCCATGTCCAGCTCCCTGCTCAGCGGAGAGCCTGCTTCTCCCTCTCCCTCTGCCTGCCACTCTGCCTACTTGTGCTCTCTATCTCTCTGTCAAATAAATAAATAAAATCTTTAAAAAAATAAAAAATTGAAGTTCTCTTAGGAAGAATTCAAATGGACTATCCTTTAATCTTGTTATACATATTATATTTAAGTTCATCCTTGGATGAGATGTATATAGACCATTTCATAGTGTCTATTCAGTCTATTCCAAGGCATTCTGGCTGGCTACTATCCGTGAAATCAACAACATCTCCCTTTTCCTCCTTTCTTTTTCTTCCACATCTGAATTCCTTTTTCTCCATTCATGAATATGAGACTTTTTTTTTTTTTTTGGCACTTGTAGAGAGAAGAGAAAATTTTGCTGAGCGAAGGGGCTAAGGTAAAGAGAAGAGTGGAGTGGGAAGGCATAGCGTCTGTTCTCCACTAGTCTTCTTGTACTGATTTTGAGTTCTCTGCAGAGACAGGAGTATAGAGATGGAAGCTGACTGAGATATATTCAAAGGGAATTTTGTGAGATATACAGAAATTGTACTCTTTTCCAACACACATGGAATAGTCTCAAAAATTGAGCATATCCTAATATATGAAAGAAGTCTCTACAATGGAGGTATTTAAACGCAATATCTTTATGTCATAAGCAAGACAGGGATGGGCCACTATTACTATTACTGTTCATTATCATTCTCCAGTAGTAGGTGTGCAGATGTATCCTTTAGTGTGTATAGCAGGGACTGTGTTTAGCAGGGTAGCAATCTAAGAGCTTTGGATATTCTGTACTGTCTTCATTGCTGGTTGAGTGAATCTGTAGTGCTGGTGTTGAGCAGTGATGATATTTGATTGCTTGATTAGAGTGTTCCCTCTGGTGTGTTTGAACATTGTTTCTGCCTGGATAGCGTTGAGTCCTCATTACACATAGTGCCTCTTCTGGAGAGTCTGTGATCTACTTAATACCTCTTAATATATTCTTTGTCTGCTTAAAATGGCTAGTGTGGATCTCATTGAATTGCATCTAAAATTCTGACTGATTAAAGGAGAATCTTGATAAAGCACATTGCTTGATAAAGCTAAGATAATAAAAACAATGTGGTAGTGTTGCCAAAAGAAACAACTAGATCAATGAAACAAAACACAAAACTCAGGAAGAAACCAAGTTCATAGGTAACTTTATATGTAATAAAAATTGTACCACAAATCTGAGGGGGAAAGGTGGATTATTTATTGGATAGTGCTGGGAAAACTGTCTTGCTCTATGGAGAAAAATAAAGTTGCATCTCCTCTTACACTGTATTCACATGCAAATTTTAGATGAATTAAAATGAAAATATAAAAGAAAAACTGATGAAGATAGTAAAATAAAATGGGGGAAATACATTTGTGGCCTTAGAGTGGAGAATGATTCCTAAGTCAAGATCCCTAAAGCTCAAATCATAAGTGAAAAAAGTGATAACTTTGACTTCATCAAGATTAAGGATTTCCATTAAAGAAAGAAAGGACACCACAGATAAAGTTAATAGACTAAGAGTATACCAGAAGAAGGTATTTGTGATGTCAAACATGTCAAGGAATTTATCTATAAGGAACTCCTGCAATTTACTAGAGAAAAACTACAGGCCTAATTTAAAAATGGGCAAATCATTTGAATAGGTAATATTGGAAAGGAAAAGACAAATGGCTTAATTTCACTAATAAAGAATGTTAATTAAAATGAGACTCCACACTCACCATATTGGTAAAATTGAGACAACTTTATAATTTTTTTTCATAATTTTTAAAATACCAAATTTTGAGGATTTGGAGAGACTCAAATGCTCATGCACTGCTGGTGGAAGTGTAAATGGCTATCACTTCTTTGAATGATTTCTTAGTGAAATGGAGTATGTGTATATACTATGTTTGGACAGTCCTTGCTGGACACATACCCCCAAAAAATTCCTACATAGTTCATAAGGGAAAATATAAAAATGTGTTCATTTCTGTGTTGGTGGGTTAGAGGCAGCCTATGAATCCATCACTAGGGGACTGTATAAGTAAATGTGGAGGAAGCACATACTAAAATATGGTCCAGCAGTGGGAAACTTTGAATCAGGAGTACATAACCAGTGACCTAAAAAGAGTTTTAAGGTATCAATACCTATATGTCACTTGGCTTCAGGAAGAAGCTGCTTGGACACTTAACTATTTGAATAATTGTATTCCCTTTCTGTTTCCTTTTATGTTTCAGTTGTCAGGAATTTCAGAGCTCAATTTAATCACAGTAGTGGGGTGTCTGGATAGCTCAGTAGGTTAAGCATCTGACTCTTGATCTCAGCTCAGGTCTTTTTTTTTTTTTTTTAGAGAGAGAGAGAGCAGATGTGTGCCCGTGTGGTGGGGGAGGGGTAGAAAAGAGGCAGGGGGAGAATCTTAAGTAGGCTCCACACCCAGTGCAGGAGTCCAAGGAGAGGCTTAATCTCATGACCCTAATATCATGACCTGAGCTGAAATAAAGAGTTGGACACTTAACCGACTGAGCCACCCAAGTTCCCCTCAGCTTAGGTCTTGATCTCAGAGTTGTGAGTTCAAGCCCCATGTTGGACTCCACGCTGGACATGGAGCCTACTTAAAAAAAAAAATTGATCTCAGTAGCTGTATTAGTCCTTCCATTTAATGACTCTGTGCCCACTTATGTTTGATTTTTCTATCCTAATTTTATAGCCATATTGGTATTCTCTATTTTATTTGGAAATTTTGAGGGGTTGAAAATATAAGTAAAAGTTCTCTGTTGGACCTAAATAATTGTCTTATCATTATTAAGGAGTCTCCCAGTAAAAAAAAGAGAAAAAGGAGAGTAAAAAAAGAGAAATGAATTTCCCCCCAAAACAAAGGATCATAGGGGAAGAGAGGAAAAAATAAAACAAGACGAAACCAGAGAGGGAGACAAACCATAAGAGACTCTTAATCATAGGAAACAAACAGAGGGTTGCTGGAGGGGAGGGGGGTAGGGGGAATGCGGTAACTGGGTGATGGACATTAAGGAGGGCATGTGATGTAAGGAGCACTGGGTATTATTTAAGACTGATGAATCACAGGCCAGTACCTCTGAAACCAATAATACATTATATGTTAAAAAAAAAAAAGAAAGAAAGAAACGAATTTCCCCTGACCTAAAAGGGAGACTATCAAAAAAAAAAGAAAGGATATGAATAAAGCAACCATCTTAAGAGAAATATTTCACTGCATGGAAGTATGTGTTAAATAACCACTCACCTGAACAAAGAACATCTTTTAATAATCAGAAAGCTTTCCAAGAAGGCAGCTATTTTCTCTGGTTAACCATCATATCTCTATGGAAATTGAATAAAGATGAAGAATTTGAACAAAAGCAAAGGTCATGAAATGACTTCAAGACGTGAGAAGCTACTGGCTGTGTCAGAGGCCATGTAGGGGAAATGATGTTCCATCAGTTCCCACATCGTCCACTAGGTGGTGGTGTACATAAAACTCTTCACTGAAAAAACTTCGTATTGCCACAAATGTTTACTTTTCTTTTCAAAATAAAGTCCCAAGAAAAGCTGTATAAAACAATAAAAACCAGGGGGAGAACTATTAAGTCTTGCATTAATAACAGAGGGGACAGTGTCAGGCTACAAAATGAAAAGAGGTACCATCCAAAAGAGATCATCTCCAAAGGCAGCTTTTGGGTCTTTCTCGACCCAATTTCTTTTGGTTACGAAAATGTATAACTGAGAGTTTCTTTCCATACTTGTTCCAGAGACCATCTTGGATGCAGGAGTACATAACAAGTTTTGATGACTATGTTTGCATAGGAATTTTTGTGCCTTAAAACAACTCATCTCTCATCCATCACAGTTACTAAGATTTCATGATCATTATTTTCATTTTTATTTTTTTATAATTTATTTATTTTTATTAACATATAATGTGTTATTTGTTTCAGAGGTACAGGTCTGTGATTCGTCAGTCTTACACAATTCACAGTGCTCACGATAGCACATACCGTCCCCAATGTCTATCACCCAGCCACCCCATCCCTCCCACCTCCTACCACTCCAGCAACCCTCAGTTTGTTTCCTGAGATTAAGAGTCTTTTACGGTTAGCATGTCATTGTATCCCATGTGATAAGTTCAGCATACTTGTTGTGTGAATACATCACTTTAATTTGAATGATGAAGCCATCTTTCATCAATCATGGGACTCCTTCTGACACTCTGAGAGAAGGAAAGCAAGCTTCTAAAATGAACTTGTCCAATTGTTATAACCTCTGAAAGGCTACACTCCCTTTAAGACCATCTTCTCAGAACAGGGGCGCCTGGGTGGCTCAGTGGTTGGGCGTCTGCCTTTGGCTCAGGTCATGATCCCAGGGTCCCAGGATCGAGTCCTGCATTGCGCTCCCTGGTCCGCGGGAAGCCTGCTTCTCCCTCTCCCACTCCCCCTGCTTGTGTTCCCTCTCTTGCTGTGTCTCTCTCTGTCAAATAAGTAAATAAAATCTAAAACAAACAAACAAACAAAAACCACCTTTTCAGAGCAGAGCACAGTTGAAGCAACTAGTAAGCAGCCTCAGCCCGAGTCACCCTTCTCCAGTTGGCAAATTCTGGCTGATGATGTCACTGACACAAAGAAGAAAATGCAAAACCGGCAGCCTTAAACCAGCTTCCCTGGGAGTACCACACTGACAGCTGAGACCTGAGAGCAGCTGCACTCTGACCATGGCTTTGCAGAGCACTCTGGAAGCAGTGTGGCTGGGGGTCCTCCTCAGCTCTCCCTGGAAGGGTGAGTAGGCTCCTTTGCCATCTGGTCTTGGAAAACATATGCCACTGGTTTAAAATTTGGGCTCACTTAAAAAAAAAAAAACAGAAAAGCCAGATTTATTGATACTCCCCTCATCTAAGGGGCAATCAGCAAGCCCAAGAACGGCATAAAAGTCACAGCCTTCTTTATTTGTTTCCTGCAGTTGCAGAGGGCAAGGACCAAGTGCTTCAGCCTTCCGCCGTCTCTGCTTCGGAGGGCTCTGTGGTGGAAATCTCCTGCAATCACTCTATATCCACTGCTTACAACTTCTTCTGGTACCTTCACTTCCCAGGAAGGGCTCCAAGACTCCTGATTAAGGGCTCAGGGCCTTCTCAGCAGGGACGCTACAACATGACATATGAGCGATTCTCGTCTTCGCTGCTCATCCTCCAAGTGCAGGTGGCAGATGCTGCCATTTACTACTGTGCTCTGGAGGGCACAGAGGCACTGAGCCTATGAAGAGCTGAACAGAAACAGGGAGGGTCACAGCCTTTGCAGGAGGTGGAAAAGAGATGAGCAATAACTGCTCTCCTCCCCAAGCATCTCCATTCGGCACTATCAGAAAACATTTTGAGCGCAGACACACTGTACATGAGCAAATGTACATAAGAAAATATGCTTCTAAGGAGTGAATCAATAAGCGTGCTGTAAATCTGCATTTCAAATAGTTTTCTTGATGATTGAAACATTCTTGATGAATTTCTTTTGAGATCTGACTACTAGATTATTTTTGCTTTTAAATGGCATCTGCTAGCTTCAGTCTCTTTGCAGGAGTATTATCAAGACACATGTCCATCTTGTAAAGAATAGTTTTGTTGACACTGGATAATATCATAAGAAGCTGAAAGGAATCAATGAGTGAGAAACTCTACCAACAGCCATGAGTGTGGAACCTCAATCCTTCCATCAGGATATCTTGTGAAGAAAGTACAATTTTCTTAGTTGGATTGTATTCCTTGTCAGAATTTCATATAAAAAATGCTGACTAATTATTGAACACTACATCTGAAACTAATGATGTACTACATGTTGGTTAATTAAATTTAAATAAAAAGAATTTGCATTGGAAAAAAAGAAGACCAAAAAAAATGCCTTTTTGCTTCAACAACTTTATTTTGTGCTGATTTTTCTCTGATACTTCTATAACGTATATAACCTACATTTCAGAGTCTGATGTTTGCAAAGGGCTTTCTCATTATTTTACATGAGCCATCTTTTGTTGTCTCCTGGGAAATCAGTGACAATTACAGAGTTCTGATGTTTCTAAATAGTTTACTGGGAGAGGCGGTAGGCAGTCTTAAAGAAGTACCTGGAATCTCAGATTGAAGCTCCTGGACATTGCTGTATCTTCTTTCCTATACTGAAGCCCACAGGATGGTATTCATCCTCAGTCACAGGCCTCCCCTGGTGACCATCATTTCTTCCTCCTCCTTCCTGTCAGGCCTAGAAGCAGTAAAGTCTTCTGGCTGTTGCTAGCCCCAGGGTCCTTCACCTTCTCTTGCATGTTTCCCTTTAATCTGCCCACAAAAAATTTAAAATAACCCTTTCATTAAGCTTTGTTCCAGTCATCCTCTTGAGATGATTGCCAGGACCCTCAAAGACACAAGTTTAACACTCATCTTAGGCTCTAGGCAGAAAGAGAAATTTATTAGATGTTTCTTATTCATCACAGGCCTTCTGGGGCTTGAAGATGAGTACTCTGAAGATAATTTACATATTCCAAAGAAAGACATTATCATAAGGTCAAGGTTTAAACTATTAAAATATGAGATACTTAGCAAAACTTTCAGAAACAACTATGATCCACTTCTCTTCCTGATTCAAAGCAAAGATTTTCTATCCTCTTTCTGAAATATATGGTTTATTTGGACATTATTTAAAGGGAAAGTAAGGCAAATCAGAGGAACATTTTCTTTATATTGATACTTCCTTGTTTCATTTCTTTTTCTTTTCTTTTTTTTTTAAGATTTTATTTATTTATTTGACAGAGAGAGACACAGTGAGAGAGGGAACACAAGCGGGGGAGTGGGAGAGGGAGAAGCAGGCTTCCTGCGGAGCAGGGAGCCCAATGCGGGACTCGATCCCAGGACCCTGGGACCATGACCTGAGCAGAAGGCAGATGCTTAATGACTGAGCCACCCAGGTACCCCTCCTTGTTTCATTTCAATAGGATTTATTGAACCATTGCTCTACTGTTATTGTGGCATTTTTAGTAAAAAACTTTATTCTCTTCTCCCATTAAAATGAGCATTTTATCATCATAATACCGCAAGCCCAGTTAACCATCGATCTTTACTCAATATGCACTTTTTTTGAACTCTGTTCTAAACAGCCTCTCCATGTGGAAAATCTTGATTTTTCAACTCCTTCACTGAGGGCTTTTCTTATTGCCTTTATAATCTACTGTTTAATAGGACAACTCTGCCAGGAGGTGTGTATAACACCATCCCTTCCTTATCTCTCGCTAAAAATATTTAAAGACAAAGTTCAAGTTCATTTTGTGTGAATCTTTAATTAAAGGTCCTATGGGGAGGGCTCCCAACAGTCCCAACCTAGAAAACAAAACTGAGTTAGTTTTCAGTCAAAGAGGTTTACATAGGGGCACCTCACACTTGGTAGGTTAAGCATCTGCCTTCGGCTCAGGTCAAGAGCTCAAGGTCCTGGAATTGAGCCCCACATCAGGCTTCCTACTCAGCAAGGAGCCTGCTTCTCCCCCTCCCTCTGCCTGCTGCTCCCCCTGCTTGTGCTCTCCCCCTCTCTCTGTCAAATAAAGAAATAAAATATTTTAAAAAGAGGTTTATATAGAAGCTGTCTCTACTTTTTTTTTTTTTTTTAAAGATTTTATTTATTTGACAGAGAGAAAGAGAGACAGCGAGAGGGAACACAAGCAGGGGGAGTGGGAGAGGGAGAAGCAGGCTTCCCTCCGAGCAGGGAGCCCGATGTGGGGCTCGATGTGGGCCTCGATCCCAGGACCGTGGGATCACGTCCTGAGCCGAAGGCAGATGCTTAACAACTGAGCCACCCAGGCGCCCCTGAATTACTTCTGAAGAGAACAAGTTTCTCTTTGTTATTTCTCTTCTCTTGCTTTGCTTTCTTCTCCTATTTTGCCTTTTCTTCTCTCTCATTTTTCTTTTTCTTTCCGTCTTCACCCAAAGCTATGCTTTTCCTTCTCTTTTCTATTTATTTTCCCCATTCTTATTAAAAAATTCTATTTCCCATCTGTCTCTTATGCTATCCTAATAGAGCATAAACCATTTAAAGCTTGGTCCATTCAACATGTATTTTTTTTCCTACTTTGATTCACACACTTCTGTTTCTTCTCCTTGAACGCCAAATTCTCCCTCTGTGGCTCACGGAAAATGTGAACATCCAGATAGGTCTGGTTGTGTGGTAAGATCTGGAAGCTCTGGCTACCTGACACTGAGGTTACCCGGCTCTGTGTGTGGGAGCTAGGGGGTGCTGCAGTGTGAGGCTTGTCCCAGGCGCAAGAAGAGCAGCAGTCTGGCTCCCCACAGAGCTTTGAGGAGTCTGGGCCAAGAGCTTGCTCAACAGAATGAAGACACAGGTGCCAGGAAGCCAAGGGTTCCCCAGAGAAGAAACCCTGTGCTGACGCAGGGGCGCTGGTCCCTCTTCGAGAGCCTGTTCTCCGGAGTGGGAATTTATCTCCAGCGGAGGTGGGCAGCTCAGCATAAACCATGGCCTCTGCGCGCATCTCCACACTTGGGATTCTCTTCACACTGAATGAGTACTATTCTTTCCCCATTTACCGCTTGTATTACCCGCATACACGCTTTTCAGCAGCTTCACTGATAGAGTGTGGATTCATTTCCAGGTGGACTGAGAGCTCAGTCGGTGTCGCAGCCAGATCAGGTCACTGTTGCTGAAGGGGATCCACTGACTGTGAATTGTACCTATTCAGTTTCTGGAAACCCTTATCTCTTTTGGTACGTCCGGTATCCCAACCAAGGTCTCCAGTTCCTTCTGAAATACATCACCGGGAACAACCTGGTTAAAGGGAGCTACGGTTTTGAGGCTGAATTTAATAACAGCCAAACCTCTTTCCACCTGAAGAAACCATCTGTCCTCCGGAGCGACTCTGCTGTGTACTTCTGTGCGGTGGCAGACACAGTGGTGGGGGCGGTGGGGGCAGCTGAGCACAAACCCTTGAGTACCACCCTGGAACTTTTTCCCGAAGCCTTTATGTCCCTCCACTAGAGGGTGGTGTGGTTTTAGGATATGTCACTCATTATAACTAAACTACAATTTCAAGGGGTGGCTCAGTTGATTAAGTATCTGCCTTCGGCTCAGGTCATGATCCTAGGGTCCTGGGATCGAGCCCCGTGTTGGACTCCCTGCTTCTCCCTCTGCCTCTGCCGATCCCCCTGCTTGTGCTCTTTCATATTCTCTCTCTCAAATAAATAAATAAAATCTTAAAAAAACCCTACAAATTTCAAGCCACGTTCATTAGACAAATGTTTATGAATCCTTATGTGCTCAGTACTGTGCTGAGCCCTGATGACAAGTCGGTGAAAGAAATTATCATTGATTTCAACGTGCCAGGTGTGATCCCAGACATTACGAACCTATGTAATCTTGCAACTGTTATCATGAGCTTTGCTTTGCAGATGAGGGAACTAAGGCACAGAGAATTTAAGTTCTCACTTGAGTCACAAAACTGTTAAATGGCAAACTGACTCCCAGGCAGTCTGCCTCTCGAGTGCGGGGCCCGATGGCTCCACTTCTCTGCCAGCCTGGAGGCTCCCTGAGGGTATGAGACTGATTTCAGCGATAGGGTAGCTCTAACTCCTGGATGGTTCCTGCCAAGAAGAGTGCTGGTTGTAGGACGAGCAAACCAACAACTCAAAACAGTTTGGCAAGCGCCAAGATAGAGGACTGCACAACATGTTATGTGAGATGAGGAAGAGGGGGTAGCCTAGCTGTGAAAGAAGGAGAGAGTGAGGTCATACTACAAGGAGAATTTGAATCAAAGGAGAATTTAAACATGTAGGCTGCGGGGCGCCTGGGTGGGTCAGTCGTTAAGCGGCTGCCTTTGGCTCAGGTCATGATCCTGGGGTCCTGGGATCAAGCCCCGCATTGGGCTCCCTGCTCTGCGGGAAGCCTGTTCTCTCTCTCCCACTCCCCCTGCTTGTGTTCTCTCTCTCACTGTCTCTTACTGTCAAGTAAATAAATAAAATATTAAAAAAAAATAAACATGTAGGCTGCTTCTGCCTCCTCTGCTCACATCTTATATATGCCCTTGAGGGACTGAACTTGATGCACCCCCCCCAATTTAGAATATCTTGGGAAGGGCTCTGGTTGACTCTGTGAGTCACGTGTTCTTCCCTGGACTAACCAGCAGTGGCTGTGGGTGTGCGCTGCTAGGATTAGCCCAGCTTGACTTGCACACTTGGCCAGTTAATGAGTGGCTGGACAGATGTCTCTGTGAGACGTTAGCATCTTTGATTTGAATCACATGATTAAAAGGAGTATGTCCCAAAAGAAATTAACTTTTACATAGGGGCTTACATTTATGTCTCCCAAATGCATAGTCAATAGTAGGAACACCACTTATTGAAAAATTCCCTCTTGCCCCATAGATTTGATATACTACGTTTATAGTACACTAAATTCCCATATATACCTGGATCTGTTTTTGAACACTTTATTCTTTTTATTTTTTTTAAATTTTTTATTGTTATGTTAATCACCATATATTACATCATTTGTTTTGGTGTAGTGTTCCATGATTCATTGTTTGTTCATAACACCCAGTGCTCCATGCAGAATGTGCCCTCTTTAATACCCATCACCAGGCTAATCCATCCCCCTACCCTCCTCCCCTCTAGAAACCTCAGTTTGTTTTTCAGAGTCCATCATCTCTCATGGTTCGTCTCCCCCTCTGACTTACTCCCCTTCATTCTTCCTCTCCTGCTATCTTCTTCTTTTTCTTTTTTCTTAAAATATGTTGCGTTATTTGTTTCAAAAGTACAGATCTGTGATTCAACAGTCTTGCACAATTCACAGCGCTCACCGTAGCACATACCCTCCCCAATGTCTATCACCCAGCCACCCCATCCCTCCCACCCCCGACCACTCCAGCAACCCTCAGTTTTGAACCCTTTATTCTTATAGTTTTGTGCTGGAGTGTATTGCTTCAAGGAGGGTTGCCCTTAAGCCTCTGGCTTACACAGTGTGATCTACTCCCTTCCTTTCTTTCTTTCTTTCTTTCTTTCTTTCTTTCTTTCTTTCTTTCTT